TTGTGTATGTACAAGTGTGTGCTTTAATATATATGTAAAACATACATATACTACAGGAGAGAAAATGAATATACTTAAAGCACCCTTCCCCAATTTGTCTTGAGAAATCTGGACTTAGTACATGTTTCTCCTGTTTACCAGGTAATCATGGACTATCAGGTTGTTTAAGTCTCCCTGATGATCATGAATATGTCACAGCTTCTACACATCCCAAATCTTCCAGCACTGTCCAGATTGTGCCATTTATTGTAGTGACATTACTATCACTGTCTATACTCAACGTATAGCCAGTAAAGAAACTGAAAATTTGACCAAAAAATAAAAATGTGTCTAGTATTTCTTCTTCATTCATCCAATGAAGGGATGGTCCACATTAGATTTTGAAAAACTGGATTATACTCTTTTTCTCAGCTACCTTAAAAACTTCAGATTCAGGTTCCCCTTCCTTTATACCATCAATTCTGTAATTTCTCAAAACTTTAAACTCCTTTTCCACCCCAAAATAGCTTCTGGTTTATATCATCTTCTAAGAATCCTTTCTAGGCCAATATTATGATCTTCACAGTCGCATCTTCCAATACTAAAGACTTTATAAAGCAACGATCCTAAACTAATCAAGGTAAATCATTTTTTGAACTCTAGTGCTCATCAAATTAAGAGTACCAAGAGGATGTACCAAGAAAACCATTTAAATTTTGACAGTATAAATAAATGAGACCAAATTAGAATAGACTGCGAATTCATTCAGTGAAGGAATAATTATTGATTTTTGAGGGAGAACAAAAGGTAAGATCAAATGCAGCTCTGCTTTCAGAAGCTTCCAGGATGCTACTTACACGCATTTCCATCAACTTCATTCTAGGCCTCACGGTCTAGTAAATTACCGCACTAGTGGCCAAGTAACCGAACTGTCAGTAATGACAACTATATTACCAGATGTTTTACTTGGTTTCCAGAACACTTCTGCTCCAAGTAGGTCTTTATCAAATTGATCTTAAAAACAAAAACAAACAGGAACTCTAAGTTCCTGAGCTTAAATTCACTCGAAACTACAGTACACCTCGGCGTATGTAATCTGGTGGAGACAGGAGGGAGCAAACATGCTTCGGGGCAAGGATCTTGAAAGCCGCAGCAGACCAGTTATTTGTATATTTGCACGGGGAGGGTGGGGGCTGTGGAGACTGGCTTTCGGGCGCAGAATGCAATCACTAATCGCGAGAGGCTGCTGCCAAGGGTCTGGGAAGCAGCAACAGTGAGGTTGGCAATAGATGCGTCCCACGATGCCGGGCAGATGCTGGGGGGAGAGGGCTGCGGCAACGCTGGAAGTCCAGGTGAGGCCGGTGAAGCCGCCGGCCTAGCCCGGAGTGGCGTGGCGGGGCGGGGCCGGGTGCCGCCGGCTCCAGGCCTCCCCCGGGAGGCGGGGAGGAGCGGCCCGGGGCCGGCCGGCAGGATGGGCCCGCGCGCCTTCCTCCCCCTCCCCGCCCCCAGGCCGACCTACCGTGGAACTCGAAGTGGCCGATGCTCTGGCCCTGAGCGTCTCGGGCCGCGGCGCTGCTGAAGCTGCCCCGCAGGGTCTTAGCCTGGCCGCCCTGCGGCCACCAGCAGCACGTGAGGGCCACCGCCAGGAGCCGCAGCCCCCCCATGCCCGCCTCACCCTCCGGGCGGACACAGGGTCCCTATCCGCCAGCACTGCCGGCCCCACGTCGGCAGCTGGAGGGCGGGGTCGGCACCGCGGACCCGCCCCTAGGAGACTGAGAGCCAATGAAGCGGGCTCCTCCGCCACGAGCCAACGATATTCACCAATGAGGGGCCGAAGTGGGCGGGACGTGAAAAATCCGAGTGCCCAATCATTCCCCTGGATTTTGGCTAGTTCCCGCCCTTTTTTAATTCTTTCAATGAAGAATCTGGGGGATGTTGCTTCACGTTACGGAAAAATTATCGCGCTCCTTGTAGCCTCTGCGCATGCGCAGACACGCAGGCACTGGGCCGTGGGACTTTTGAGAGACGTGGGATTCGGGAAAAAAACTAAGAAACCACACGACGCGGCCATTTCTGGTCAAAAGAGGAAAACCCCCCTCAAAGCAAGAGTCATGGGCTTATTCAGCTTTTCTAACTCAGTGCCTGGATAACCTACCGGACATGTCTACTTCAGTGTCTCAAAATCATTTAACTCTGCATGTCCAAAGTTTGACCCATGATTTCTCTGGGCACCTCCAACCGATTTTTCTCTCCTAGGTTCCCTGTCTTCTTGAATTATATCACCCAACATGCCAGACGGCTGGGCATTCTCGCGACCCCTCCTCCCCACGCCCTCACACTCAATGGATTCAATGATTCAATAACAGGTGTGGGTTGGCCCCTCTTCTGGTGCTGGAGGGAAGTCGCAGGCACAATCCCACGCAGGACATCATTTTCTTGGCCTACAGCAAGACCTGCCTCCACTCTTAATTCGAATTGGCCACAGTCCATCTCCACCCTAGAGCCACAGAAAGCTTTAGGACAAGCAATTTGATTACATTACTTTCCTTCAAAGGCTCTCTGAAGGCTTTTAGCACACAACCCAAACTCTGTAGAATAAAGCTCTCAAGTCTCTCAAATTTCCATTTCTTAACTTCTCATCTCCATTCTTACCACTGTCAGTTGCCTGAACACTCCAAGTTCTCACCTCTAGGACTGTATGCCCGCAGATCTCTCTGGCTGGAATACTGCTTATTCTACCTACCACTCAACCTCCACCTCACCTTCCTTTTCTTTACTCCTCTTTCCCAAGGCCCTTTAAGAAGGCTTTCTCAAACCCTCAAGTGTGTATTAGATGCCCCAAGAACAGGAATCCCTTACTTCCTTACCAGGGCAGCTAGTACACTGTATCATAAATGTCTATTGGTTTATCTGAATCCCACAGCTGGTCAGAGACTATATCTGCCTTGATGAAAGTGGGAGCTCAAAATTATTTCATGAATAAATGTACATAAATTATTTTCATTCAACAACAAGCTTTTGTGACACATAAGCAAGTTCTCACAACAGACCTCACCATTAAGAAAAAAAAATCTTGGGAGCCACCTATCATATACCCAGTATTTTCAGTGTCTCTGGCTGACCAGGAACACACCAGAGGTATTAATATTTAGGGATTTATAAAAAATTGCACTTTTTTTATATTATAAAAGTAATTCATGTGACTCAGAAAAAAATTCAGTCAAAAGTGTATGAAGGCCAGGCGTGGTCACTCACACCTATAATCCCAGCACTTGGGGAGGCCTGCACTTGAGCCCAGGCAACACAGTGAGACCTTCTCTCAAAAAAAGAAAGAAAAAGTGTGTGAAGTCAAAATGAGTGTCCCCATTACTTCCTTTCCCTGCCATATTCAATACCCAAAGGTAATCTCTGTTAATAGTTTAGGGTGGATCTTCTCAGACAAGCCTTTAAAATATATGTGGTATTTGTAAACCAAGGACAGGAATAAAATTGGTCCTGAGGAAAAACCATGACACAGGCCTTGAATGCTGTTAGGTCTCTATCTTCTATCTCTCATCTTCTATCTTCTATCTCTCATCTTCTCTTTTTGATCAATTTGTTTTCTCTCATCAAAGGTAGGCTTTTCGGCTCTTCAGTTCATTTGCAAGAACATGGCCACCACCAAGTCCCAACTTTGTAGGGGCTCAGAGTTCAAAAAGAGCAACCAGACTTTACTAAAACCTTAGTCCACTTCTAAATCCCAAGAAGAGGCTTCAATTGGCGTAGGGTGAGTCAGATTCCATCCTGTGGCCTGCCTGGGGAGGGTCAACTTAGGGATATCATAAAGGATGGGGGCAGTCTGGTTAGAAAAAAACCTTAAGTACACAACTATACAAGATACAGTATTTTGGTCCTCATTCCATGTTGGTACATTCTTTTTAAAGGCTAAATAACACTCCATTGCATTTAAAAAGTGAGACTGTACTATACACATTTAGATTCTGTCCAGTTTCATCATTATAAGCAATATCAATGAACAATTATCTATATTATACATTATGAAATTTGGGGGTCATAGAGTAGGCACATTTGAAATTTTCATATATATCACTTTTTCCTTCAAAAAGGTTGTAACATGACACTTCCCCATACATACCTATACTGGGCATTTCCATCGTTTTTAAGCTTTGCCAAAAACATTATGTGAAAAAAGAAACATTTATTCATCTATTTGACAACATTTACTGATTGTTTATTTTGTGCCAGGCCTGGCATAGGGACTTGGGATTGTAGCAGAAAACAAAACCCCCGCCCTCATGGAGTAGTGACAATGAGCAATTATATCAACATAAATGTCGACAAGTACTATGAAGAAAAACAAAGGGTAAGATGGTTGGGCAGGGCTGGGTAAAGCTTGCTGCTATTTTAATCGAAGTGGTCAAGAAAGGGCTCTCTAATAGGATGACATTCAAGCTGAGAACTGAAGTAAAGGTAAAAACTAGACACACAACTGAGGAAAGGGAGTGCAGGCCCCAGGAAGTGGGGTGACTGGTGAATTCAAGGAAAGGCAAAGAGGACCGGGAAGCCGGGGCAGAGTGAGCAAAGGGGAGAACAGTAGAAGATCTAAGGGTAGTAGTATCTAGGGAACATCTTTAGCAAGACTGCAAGCAGCCTGCGCTCGTCTGTAATAACATTAACAACAACAAAAGATCATTTTGCAATTTCAACCTCCCATTTTCACACTACAAGAGGAGAACTCATCGGAGTTCTCAGCTCAACAGGTGCATAACTTCTAGAGATGGCTGTAGTACAAGAATGAAAGAGGCACTCATTCATAACTCTGACCTTCTGTGTATCTAAATAAAGTCTAACCCATGCTGGTAACACTTGCTGGGAAAAACGACCCAGATCAAACTGCTCAGCAAACCCACCCGCGCCTACCAGACCAGATTTCAGCGGAACGAGCTGCGCCTGCGCCGTGGCGCTGCTCGGCCCCGCCCAGCCCGCCAGTGGGCGGGGACAAACCCGCTGCAGCGCCACTCTCCGGAAGCTGCCGCTGACTGCCCCCTTGACGTGTCGGGCGAGCGAGGCGCGTCGCAAAAGGTCGCGGTGCAGATCTTCCCGACGGTCTGCAGACCTGGCACTTTACGGTGCTAGGCGCTGCGGAGCTGGGAGATGTCTGCGGGCTTTGCGAAGCGGGTCCTGGTCACCGGGGGTGCTGGTTTCATGTACGTAATGGCGCTGCTAGCCGAGCAGTGGCTCCCAAGAAACCCCAACTTATTCCCGCAGCTCTGCTTGCCCTTGACAATTTGGGTCTAGCTTTGGAGGGCGTGATACAGGGAGAGGTCCTAATGTACAACTGGGACCATCCAACCTTCTCTCTTCCCGGCCTGCGAAGACGTGGTTCCTTTGAAACTGCGACTTCTTTGAAACGCCTGCCTCCCAAAGCAAGAGTGTGTGGTACTGTCTGCCCTCCTATGCCCCGAGATGCTTACCACCAGTCACTCCTTAAGTGGCACACATTGCAGTAAGCTTCTCACCGACTGCTTCCCACCCCCCAGCAAAGACCACCCTCTGCCCCACGATGCAAAGGCCTAGTTCATATAGGTTCCCCCAAAATGATTTTGGGATTGTAATAGGGCATTCATTTATTTAGCAAACTTTTAAAAGTCCACTGTTGGACACCTTTTTCTCTCCCACACCCACGTTAGATCAGCAAGTCCTCTTCTTCTACTTCCAAGTATATCCTTAAGGTGACCACTTCTCACCCTAGCCCATGTTACCGTCCTTTTTTGCCTAGGCTACTGCTGGAGCCTGGAGGTTTGTCGTACTGCTTCTGCTCTTGTTCCCTAAAGTCTGTTCCTCACACAGAAGTCAGTTTCTTGAGTAAATTAGGTAATGTTAATGTGTTGAATTTTATTCCAGTGCTTGCTGTCAGACTTAAGATAAAATCCAAACTCTACCATATCTAAAAGACTCAAGTGCCTTACTTTTGCAACCTGATCTCTTTTCTGTACCTGCCACGTTTACCCTCTTAAAGTTCTTGGAACAACCACGCTAGTTCCTCTTCTTGTCTTTTTGCTTCCCCTTTGCTTAGGCAGATTGCATCACTCAGTTCAGGTTTTTCACTAAGTTATCACCCACTCAGAGAGGCCTTAGCTGGCCACCCTATCTGAAATAGTCCTTCTCTCAACTAACACACTTATCTCTAGCTGAAATTATATTGTTTATTTGTGTTTACTTGTTAATTGTCTGCATCCCCACTCTAGAATGTAAACTCAATGAGGGTAGAGACAATTGTTCACTCAGCACCTGGCAGAATGCCTGGTCCAGTTTATGAATTGTGGAATGGATGAATGCAAAAGTAGTAAGCAGGAAACTCTCCTCAAGTAACTCAGTGTCTAGTGGAAGAAGAGGGATGTGGGGATTCTTGTTTAGTGCCCATTAGCACATTATATCACCCCTTCTAGTCTGACAGTCATTTGGCAGAGTATACCAAATGGCAAGGTTTATTTAATGAGAGGAGCATGGGCATGAAAGGGTGATATTTGAGAACGCTGGTGCAGGAAGGGTGCAGCCTAGAAAATGTTGTGAAAGGATTGCCAGGTATAAACACTGAGTTCATAATTTGGTCTAAGGCTGCCCTTACTCCTCTTACTCCTGGGAGCCCAGCATTTTAAGTATATGTAATAAAATCCAGTAGATCATCTTACTGAGGTATGCCTCTGGTTCCCCTTCAGGGCCCTCTGAAGCCCAGGAGCCACCGTGGCTACCCAACTCAGGACGGTTTCAGCTGTTATTAGCCTGGGAAACTTGGCTTCAGTCTAGGACCCTCCTGAGGATTCTGGTTTACACCACAAAATTCTTGTACCAAGAGATTGTACTTACAGAAGTTAATATAAACAGAAATAACTGACTGTGCTCATACTAATTTAATTTTTACATAATTCCATCTGTAATTTCTGAAAAGGCACATTGTAATTTTAGTACAGTTGCACTGACTAGCACCCAGTGTGTTTATCATCCTGCTGCACTCTCATACTCAAAGCATGTATGAACAGCATCATTTTAAACTAGTTGTTTTGGTTATACCCAGATCCCGTAAGTCCTCCCTTCTATGTAGTCTTAAAGGGAGTATAAGATGTTGTTTATAGATACTGTTGAGAAGTTTGGTGAAAAGTGTTTGTGTTCAATGTACCTATATTGTTTCTGTTATTTTGGGAAAATTTAAAGTTACCTTTGAATATCTTCCTAATAGCTTAGCAAAACATTAAGGAATTTAGGGAGGTTAAAGTTTTCCACTAAGATATACTTTTTTCTTATAGTGCATCCCATGTGATTGTTTCTTTAGTAGAAGATTATCCAAACTATATGATCATAAATCTAGACAAGGTGAGTTTTATAAAAATGAGCTTCATGCACTGAAATTACACTTCAATTTAATTACATATTTAAAAAGTATTAGAATCTTATGTTCTTATTTTAGTTTTTTATTTAGTCATCATAGCAGTTTAGAGGTCTGTATAGTCATGTGCTTATGCTATATTTAATCTTACATAAAATCTTTTAAAGCCATTTATTATGCTAGTCCATAAAGTAAAGGTTTTAAGTGCAATACTTTTACCAAAAGAAAACCTTTACCCTTTGTAAATCAGATATTTAGTGTAATGTGATTATTAATGATTTTGATTTTAAGATACTATATTTGATTATTTAACCATTTGATTTTATAACTGTTACTTCTTAGAAAATTATATATATTTTAAATTAAAATGAATTAAATTAATTTAATTGTGAGAATATTGCAGTAATAATTGGAGTCTCCCTGGAGAATCTGAAAGTCATGTTGGGTAATCACTAGATTTTTTTTTTTTTTTGAGACAGAGTCTCGCTCTGTTGCCCGGGCTAGAGTGCCGTGGCATTAGCCTACCTCACAGCAACCTCAAACTGCTGGGCTCAAGCAATCCTTCTGCCTCAGCCTCCCAAGTAGCTGGCACTACAGGCATGTGCCACCATGCCCGGCTAATTTTTTTATATATATTTTTAGTTGGCCAATTAATTTCTTTCTATTTATAGTAGAAATGGGGTCTCACTCTTGCTCAGGCTGGTTTCGAACTCCTAACATTGAGCAATCCGCCTGCCTCAGCCTCCCAGAGTGCTAGGATTACAGGCCTGAGCCACCGCGCCCAGCCTAGAATTTTGACTTTAAACAGAAGATGAAATTGGTTACCTTAATTTCATAAAACATAACAGTGAAAATGAACAGGCAAAATATAACCCTTACGCATATGAATTTTTGCCTGCCTTACTATTATGGACAGGGATTTTTTCCCCCATCTGTACATTGATTAACCAAGAGTTAACTGAGGAGCAGGCATAATCATTTATAATATGTATAACACAGATGTAATTATTTTCAGTCACTAATTCCTTTTCTGAAAGGAATGGTGAACTGTTCTAGCTGCCAGTGGCTGGGAGAAAATTTGGACAGGAACATTTTTTAAAGTAGAAGTTTATAAAAATGTTTTTGGAGTTTTTTTCCCTTTGAAAAGGTAATAAAATTACTTGCTTGTTTTTTACTTCTAAGGTGTCAGAAACTTAAAATTTATAAAAACACAGAACCAAACATACTTTAAGAGGACATGTTCTTGTACAACAGTCATTAATATCTATAGTCTTTAAAATAAATTGGTATTTTATCGAAAAAGCTAATATCACTTTTTGTGTTGCCCCTCACCATACTCTTCATTTAAGCTGGATTACTGCGCAAGCTTGAAGAATCTTGAAACCATTTCTAGCAAACAAAACTACAAATTTATACAGGTATAGAGAAGTTTTCTTACAATTATTGTACTTATAATTATTGTGCTTCTTTAGAGATTATAATATCTTTCTACCTTACTAACTTGTGTAATATGGGCTTGGAAGGTGCACTTATTAAAGATCTTTTAAAAGATGAGGTAGTTTATTTCCAGAAGTATCATGTGTTCTAGAGAATATTACTTTCTGTTGACACCATGTATTAATAAAAAGTTACTATGATTTTTGGTACTTTGGCAATTCTATGAATAGCTAATTGCATTTATGTGGTTTGTAATTTTAGGTCCTCATTAGCTTCTTTAATAAGGCCTTCCTAGATTTGAAGTAATTGGGGTGTTACTCTGTAAGGTCAGCCAAAAGCCCATCAAGAACCTCATAGGATGGTCTTCCCCTGTGAAGACTGAATGACTCTAGAAGTCTGATTCTTACTAATCACTCTTAGGCAAGTCCAAAGTATAAACCACAGGGCCAGTTCATTAATTTCAAAGGGAAATGTTACTCCAAATGAAACTTTATCTTATAATTTATATATATATTTTAAGAAGGTGCTTCTGTAGGTTTCTTTTTAACCACAAAACTTAACGAATATAGTAAGCTACCATTTCATAATTCTGTTCTTCTGTGTGAAAGTGTTTTCTTCATTATAGAAGAATTGTTGAGAGTATGTATTTTAGAAGAATTAAATGTACATATAAGCATCAAAATTACCATAATTTTACTTAGTTTTGGTAAAATATGTTTTCAAAAATGTCATTCCAATTGTTATACTTTAAATATATTTCAATAATGGTTATCTCAAAGGTTTTCTTAAATGCTAAAAAATTTCCCTATTAATGTAGTGACCTTAGTTTGGCAAGAATGTTATGACAAAAACTATTACAGTACTTACTGGTAGTTGGTGCTCAATAAAATATTGTTTATATTTATTTGAAAAACTGTCATGAATTTAATGTATAATATCCTAATGTGCTACAGAAATACATCATTACTATACCTGCTTGACTACTTGGTTGAATTTTCAAGATACTTTCTATTAAACCAGGTAGTGGAAAGTGGTGAGTGTTACAGTAAAAATGGTTATTATGAATGATAGTGTCAGTGAAACCTAGCTTTTTCATGTTTTCTTTCTCATATAGGGTGACATATGTGATTCTCACTTTGTGAAACTGCTTTTTGAAACAGAGAAAATAGATTTAGTACTACATTTTGCTGCACAAACGCATGTAGGTAAGCATTGTTTTATGTTACAGTTATGATTGGCAATTTTTTGCTCTGTGTATAACTAGCCTAAATCCAAAGTCCAATAGTGGGTTGAATAAGTAGGTATAGTACTTAATACTTAGAAAGAGGATATACCATGCTGTACCAGAAAAACAAGCCCATGGTCACTATATCATCAATGTACTTGGTACTTTTTAGATCACTTTTATTAGTGTAGGTCAAAATACAACCTATTTTAAAATGTTGAGTTTAACCAAATTGAGGTAGTTACTTCTGAAAGGGAGGAATGAGGAGATGGGCCTTCAACTGTATTTTTAATGTTTTTCTTGTTGGGTGGTAGGTACTTGGATGAACATTATATTATCTATACCATTTTGTGCATTGGAGATATTTTCTAATAATTTGTCTAACATTTTTATTGTGAAATATAACATATATTCAGAAGGAATTTAGAAGTACAGTTAATGAATAATGATAATGTGAGCACCCATGTAGCTATCACTTAAACAAAAGACAGAATGTGAATGTTGCTGAATCCTCTTTAGTAGAAAGGACTACTGTTGCCTAATGCCTGATTTAAAGTTATAATTTCTTTTCCTTTTCTCTTTGGTTTTGTGGTCAATGTATTTATCCCTAAACAATATAGGTTAGTTTGGGCTACTTCTAAATTTTATAAAAATATATACATAAAACTACATGTTGCTTTTTCAAAATTCATGTAGATTTATCCATGTAATTGGGTGTGAATATAGTTTTATTTTCAGTGTTGTACAATATTACAACCTAAGAATGCACTGTAGTTTCCTTATATCTTTTACTCTTGATGGCCATTTGGGTTGTTTACACTTTGGGGTGATTTTGAACAGTACTACCACGCACATTTTTATACACGTATCATGGTACACATAACTACACATCACTCTTGGATATATAATTGGGATCATAAGATCTGCGTACTTCAACATCAAGATAATGTTAAACTATTTTCCAAAGTAATTATACCAATTTTCACTCCTTTGGGAGTGTGTGACTTTCCATTGCCCCAGATCTCACCAAAGCTTAGTTTTGTCAGACTTTTCCCTCTTTGCTAATCTCAGCTCTGCGTAGTGATCTTTCATTATGTTTTTAATTTGTATTTTCCCTGATGACTAATAAGACTGGATATTCTTTATGTGTTTTTTTGTGATTTGGACTTCTTTTTTTTTTCTGAAATGCTATTGAAATCTTTTGCCTATTTAATTGGATTGCTTACCTTTTTCTCATTAAAAGAGAAGGTTCAAAGAGAAAAATAAGAAATAGAAGTTTTTTATATATTCTGGACTCTGGATAATGTATATATACATCATATACATTATCATCATGTATATTATAACTGTCTTCTCCCACTCTGTGGCTTATCTCCTCACTTTTTTGATAGTGTATTTTGATGAACAGATACATTTTTAATTTTAATATAGTTGAATTTTTATGTCTTTTCCTTTATGGTTAATGCTTTTTTAGGTCTTAAGAAATTCTCCTCTACCCTAAGGTCATGAAGATATATTTTCCTATATTATCTTCCAAAAGCTTTATAATTTTGTCTTTTATATTTAGATTTGTAATCCATCTGAAATTAATGTATATATACAGTGTGAGGTAGGGGGCTGATTTCATTTTCTTTCCATATAAATAAATGTTCCTACATCATTTATTGAAAAGTTCACCAGTTTCTAATTCTTTGTCATATATCAAGTATTCTTATATGTGTGTCTCTTTCTCTACTTTCATTTGTCTATTTGTCTCTACCAGTGCTGATTGTGAATATTGACAAATAAAGTGATTTTGTATCTGGTAGAACAAATACTTAGTTAATAATAAAGCAGTTGTGCACTCTGCCAGCAGTTTATGAGATGCTTGCCAGCACTTGCTGTTGTCAGTTTTGGTGTTTTATTTTTCCATTATAACTCATGAGGTTTAAACTCAAAGGTTTAAAACTCAAAGGTTTAAAAACCTTTGCATTTGTTTATTGGACTGTCCTTCCTCATTTCTTATTGGTGTGTCCTCTGTGGAAATTTTCGTTAAAGTCTCTTGACCATTTTCTTTTGGGTTGTCAGTTTTTTCTTGCAGATTGTTATAAATCCTTTATATATTCTGGATTCAAGTCTTTTGCAACCACCTTTTCTCAGTCTGTGGGTTGCCTTTTTCCCCCTTTTGTAATGGTGTCTTGTGATCAATGAAAGTTCTTCATGTCAATATAATTTAACTTATCTTTACCTTTTCCTTTAGGGTTAATGTTGTTTGTGTCCTGTGTAAGAACTCTTTTCCTACCTCTGAGGTCATGGAGATATTCTCTTATATTCTTTTCTTAAAAGTTATTGTTTTTCCTTTTACACTTAGATTTCTTCACCACATTGATAAAAGTTTGACTAAAAATCATCTATTGAAAAGATTTGACCTTTCCTCATTGCCACTTTTGTCATAGGTCAAGTGTCCTATACATATGGTTCTATTTATGGGCTGTACTTTGTTCCATTGATCTTTGTCCTTTGTCCTTTGTCAGTATGCCCATACTGTCTTAATTACTGTAGCTTTATAAAAATTCTTTTTTTTTTTTTTTTTTTTTTTTGAGACAGAGTCTCACTCTGTTCCCTGGACTAGAGTGCCATGGTGTCAGCCTAGCTCATAGCAACCTCAAACTCTTGGGCTCAAGCAATCCTACTGCCTCAGCCTCCTGAGTAGCTGGGACTACAGGCATGCGCCACTATGCCCGGCTAATTTTTTCTAGATATTTTTAATTGTCCAATTAATTTCTTTCTATTTGAGTAGAGACAGGGTCTCACTCTTGCTCAGGCTGGTTTTGAACTCCTGACCTTGAGCGATCCACCTGCCTTGGCCTCCCATAGTGCTAGGATTACAGGCGTGAGCCACTTCGCCCAGCCTATCTCTCAGTTTTTAATTTGAATTTTCCTTGTTATAAGTGAGGTTGAGCATAATAGGCTTAAGGACCCATTTGTATTTTTTGTTTAAACTATTTGTTTATGTTCTCTACCCATTTTATTATAGAGTTGTTCTTATGTATATTTTATAAGTTCTTTATAGACTGAAGATATTAATCCTTTTTCTCTGATAAGTTCAAATATTTTTCCCAGTTTGTCATTTATCTTTTACTTTGTTTTTAGTTTAGTTTTTTTTTGTCATGTTAACCATGGGAGAATTTTTATATAGTCAGATTTGTCAATCTCTTCCCTTATTTGCTTCTGGATTGTAAGTCATAATTAGAAAGGTTCCTCCCCATTCCCTGGTTATAGAGATTCAGTTCTTTTAAAGTGAATTTATTTTTAAACAATTTATCCAGCTTTTATTGTTTTCAGCAATAACAAGTTGATCTGAAAAGCCAAGTCCTCTAACAGCAGAAACTAGAAGTTTAAAAATTTTTTTAAATTTAAGAACATTTTAAATTTAGATATGTCATTTCTTCTTATTTACTTCTTTTTAGAATAAAAAAGTGTTTCCTACAAATTTAGCACCAATAGTATTCTGGGTTCTAGGAATTTAAATGTGCTGTATAATTTAGGTCTAAAGAAATCATAAATACCAATGTTGCATGTATATTATTTCTATAACTGTTGCAATTTCTATAACTGTGCAATTGAATGAAGAGAAGTAAATAACTCCTTAAACCTGAGTTCATTGTTTTGTCCTTTGGTGGAATTGTTTTAGCTTTTTACTCTTTTTTTGTTTGTTTTTTTTTAGATCTTTCATTTGTACGTGCCTTTGAGTTTACCTATGTTAATGTTTATGGCACTCATGTTTTAGTAAGTGCTGCTCACGAAGCCAGAGTGGAGAAATTTATTTACGTCAGCACAGATGAAGTATATGGAGGCAGTCTTGATAAGGTGAGCTTAGAACATGTACATTTCATCTACTTACCATGTACCACAATTCTCCAAAATGTTACACCATTGTCTCTTCTGTTCCAATCAAGTGATGCCACCCCAAATGGGGAACAACTACAGATTTATTTGTAATTTTGCAAGAGACTAGGAGATCTCACCTTTTTATCCCAGTCTTATGAACATGATGGATGTCATTCCCCCAGACCACAGCTAAGAAGTTAGTTAGGCTGCAGCACTTTTCTCTTCTAGTCAGGAAAATACATTGGAACATCAAGGAGTGAGTGTGAAATTATTGTAAAAACCAGAATCTATTCTTTATTTTTTTAATCATTCCTAAATATTATACTTTTTATGTAAAAGGAGATGACTCCATTCCCCAGTCTATATTTTGTATAGCCATTATTTGCAGTGACCTCATTTTGTTTTTGTTTTTGTTTTTTGGGGTTTTTTTAGGCAGAGTCTTGCTCTTGCTCTACCAAGTCAGGTGGTGTCTTCATAGCTCACTGCAACCTCACACTTCTGGGCTCAAGCAATCCTTCTGCCTCAGCCCCCTGAGTAGCTGGGACTACAGGTGTGCACCACCATGCCTGGCTAATTTTTCTGTTTTTTTGTAGAGGCAGGGTTTTGCTCTTGTTCAGGCTGATCTTGAACTCCTGGCCTCAAGCAATCCTCCTGCCTCAGCCTCCCAAAATGCTAGGATTACAGGTGTGAGCTACCTTGCTTGGCCTCATTTTGTTTTATTTATTTTACTTTTTAGAATTTTTTTTAAAATTTTACCAAAGCATACTCTCAGTGAAAAAGATCAAATAGTTCAAAAAGACTTACAATGAGAAAAAGCAGACCTGACCACCTCTCCCTGATTCCCCATCCTGCTCCTGAGAAGCAACCATTTTCACATCTCTTGGCAATTTTTAACACATAAACTTCTTCCTGCACCTTTGCCACCCTGCATCACATCTGATATGGTAGCCACTTCTCTTCTCTCATACCGACTTCTTGAAGTTCCTTTGGACGTACTTCTGTCTCAGAGCCTTTGCTCATGTTGTTGTCTGCCTGCCTAATGGGATCATACTGAGCATTAAAGAAGTTACTACATGTTCTTGGAAAAATGCCAGGCACATAGGGTTCAAGAAATGTTTTTTTAAATTGACATTCCAACTTTGTAATATATTTTTTGGTTTTTATACTTAGAAAGTATGCGTAATACTTACTTTCTAAAAATATATTTTAAAAATTAGGAATTTGATGAATCTTCACCCAAACAACCTACAAATCCTTATGCATCATCTAAAGCAGCTGCTGAATGTTTTGTACAGTCTTACTGGGAACGATATAAGGTAAGAACTGATTTCAGAAAATCTTGAAACTTTTTCCTTTGGACTTGGCTGTTAAAACTCCCAGTCAGGCCAGGCTCGGTGGCTCACACCTGTAATCCTAGCACTCTGGGAGGCCTAGGCGGGCAAATTGCTCGAGCTCAGGAGTTCGAAACCAGCCTGAGCAAGAGCGAGACCCCGTCTCTACTATAAATAGAAAGAAATTAATTGGCCAACTAATATATATAGAAAAAATTAGCCGGGCATGATGGCACATGCCTGTAGTCCCAGCTACTCGGGAGGCTGAGGCAGGAGGATTGCTTGAGCCCAGGAGTTTGAGGTTGCTGTGAGCTAGGCTGACACCATTGCACTCACTCTAACCTGGGCAATAAAGCAAGACTCTGTCTCAAAAAAAAAAAACAAGACTTCAATTCAGCTTAAGCAACACTTCATTTTTAGAGTAGAAGAGACATAGATTGAGAAAAGTTATATGTTAAGGAACTTTTAAAACTGGTTTCCTATATTTTATGGACAAAGTAGGACCTACCTATTTCTATTCAGTTCATCCTTAAAGGAACAATTTGAATATATATTTTTTCCTATTTCAGTAATAGGTAGAGTGTTACAGCTATAGTGAAAGCCCTGTTGGAATCCTATGAGTGGAGGAAGACAGAGGGAGGACAGATTCCCTTTCCTGCCGTGTGCTCCTCTCTGCATGCTTCAGCTGTCTTGGCTCCTCCTGAATGGGAAGTAGACTTGCCCCTGGTGACCCTGATTGTGTCAGTGCAAGAGCCTTACCCAGTATGAGTCATCAACTCGAATCCCCTGCATCTGGCTCCCCAGTGATCTTTGTGCGTTATTAGGGACTGGATCAGAAAGGCAAGCCAGGAAATTCCTCCCGGTTCTCTCACCTTTTGTGTTCTAATAGCTTTGGTCCTTTTCCCTTTCATGGTAGCTCTCTTTATTTGTAAGGCTTGGTACAACAGAGAACACCAACTTCAAGTTTAACATCTAAACATACTTAGAGTCCCAGAGGTGGTCTCTTAAATACAAGTGTTCTGCTATCAGGCTTATAAAACTGCCTCCATCTCTAATCATCCTCCCTCGTCCCAGTAAAAAGAATGTTCTTCTTCTTCCTTTTGGAACCTTTGCCTTTATCTCAATCCTATCCTCTCCTGTCATTTTTAGGAACTTTATATTAGAAAAAATGTCTTCACTCTCTCCTTAAGGTGTATAGAATTATTTAGGCAAAAATTCCTATATTTTCAAACTCTGTTTATGTTTAAAGTAAGCATCATTATTAGACTTTTCCAAAAACCTTAATGTTGAATATTCTTTTAAGTTTCCAGTTGTTATCACAAGAAGCAGTAATGTTTATGGACCACATCAATATCCAGAGAAGGTAAACTTTACTTCTGAATTCATAATGCTTTTTAGTGATTGTAACTTCTCATTATTTAAAATAACTTCTCTTTAGTTATTTGTCTAAAATAATGTACATTGTAATTATGTGTAATTACATATGCTGTGTAGGCTACATGCAGATGCCATCAGACTTAGAGTTTAAAGACTTAAGTTTAAGTCTCAACTTGACACTCACTAGCTGGCATGACCTTAGGCCCTTTGGGCATAGTCTTTAAATTGGGAGATGATGATAATACTTAGGAATGATTTTGAGGGATCCAGTGAGATGATATATGTGAAAATGCCTCATACGTTTTAGAACTTTAATGACTTCCACTACTACTGTCACTCTGCATTTAAGACTCCCAGTTTCCAGTAAGACAAAAATGCCAAGGATATACAGAAAGTTTAAGCTAGTTAGATAGTGATGCAGGAATCTTAAGTACATAAACTGTCTTACTGTTAGCTGGTTAACTGTAGCCCAACTCATCTTTATTGCTGTAAGCCTGAATGTCTTCAGGGAGTAATACAAGTAGCGAATAAAGAAATGTAGTTAAGGCTGGGCGTGATGGCTCAGGCTTGTAATCCTAGCACTCTAGGAGGCCAAGGTGGGAGGATGGCTTGAGCTCAGGAGTTCGAGACCAGCCTGAGCAAGAGTGAGACCCCGTCTCTACTAAAAATAGAAAGAAATTTACTGGACAACTAAAAATATGTAGAAAAAATTAGCCAGGTATGGTGGCACATGCCTGTATTCCCTTCTACTCAGGAGGCTGAGGCAGGAGGATTGCTTGAGCCCAGGAGTTTGAGGTTGCTGTGAGCTAGGCTGACGCTGTAGCACTCTAGCCCGGGCAACAGAATGAGGCTCTGTCTCAAAACAAGAAAGAAAGAAAGAAAGAAAGAAAGAAAGAAAGAAAGAAAGAGAGAGAGAGAGAGAGAGAGAGAGAGAGAGAGAGGGAGGGAGGGAGGGAGAGAGGGAGGGAGGGAGGGAGGGAGGAGGAGGGGAGAGAAAAAGTGAGAGAGAGAGAGAAAGAAAGAGAGGGAGAGGGAGGGAGAGGAGGAAGAAAAAGAAATGTAGTTAAGAGGCTGAAAATGCCTGTGTTTGGTTCTGTATTATTAAGCCCAATTTAAGATGACTGTTAGCTGCTCTGCCTAAGTTTGTAGATTGGGTTTTCTCAGTGCCCAGGTGGTTGCATTGATCTGTTTGTCCAGAAGAAAGGGACAAGTCATGATCTGCAGGTATGAATAGCTATTTTGATTAAGGTTTTGAATTTAAGAGAACTGAAATTTACTTTTTATAAATTTCACAAGCACTTGTTAAGTAGGTGCTGTATGTAAAACAATAAATAAGATTTCTGCCCTTATGAAATCAGCACAAAGGTGAGCTTTGTGATGATGAGAGCAACTGTGTTTGATAAAGACTTTCTCTGAATTTTTTTCTTCAGGTAACTGGTCTTTATGAAATAGCAAACTATCTTAGAGTGCTCTTACTTATCAACTATTATAATTGTTTTTTTCATGAACTCCTAATGAAAAGAATTAGAAGTTATCCATATGTATATTTCTTGATAATAAAATCTTTTAATCTTACCACAAGTTCAAATTCATATAAATGAGTGAATTTCCAGTCTGAAATGATATTTAAATTTTTTTTAGGTCATTCCAAAGTTTATTTCTTTATTACAACATAACAGGAAATGGTATGTATTATTCATCCTTATACGCTATTCTAGTATGTTAGAGTATTTGGTGACACTCTTGAGAATCATAAAGTCTTAGGGTTATAGACCATAGAATTAAATGTCCCACCAAATTTAAGAATCCCTTCTACAGTATAATGGTTGTAAAAATAATTATAATCTGTAATTCATTTTTATAATTTACTTACTAAGATAATTTCAATTCTTAAATGATCTATCATAGAACTTTGAGTTATAGCATTAAAATTTGACATCTATCTTTATATTATTTGACTTTCTCAAAGGATTTATTTAATTCATAGAACTATAGATATTTCGTCAAAACGAACTTATGGTATAAAATTGAATAACTATTTTATAGTGGTCACTTATGTGTTTGCCATTTTCCTACTGAGTACTCTCAGGAGGTTTGTGGATTAAGAACTACAGAAAATATTTAGAAAAGTTATGAGAATTTGTGTTTTCAGTAAAAGATTTCTAGGATCCCTGTGGGAATTGGAGTCTCTGGAGTTGTATCCAGTCATTACCTTACCCTGGTTTATGAGAGCTTACTTTTTTTAATACTTTAATTCTGTTTTATTTAATCTGTTAAGCTGCATTCACGGATCTGGGCTTCAAACAAGAAATTTCCTTTATGCTACTGATGTAGTAGAAGCATTTCTCACTGTCCTCAAAAAGGGGAAACCAGGTGAAATTTATAACATTGGAACCAATTTTGAAATGTCAGTTGTCCAGCTTGCCAAAGAACTAATACAACTGGTATGTATGCATTGTAAAAGGATGGTATTTTTAAAATTGTCTGTCATTAATTTAGTCAAAATCAATAGTTTACAATTTAGTTAATTTAACAGAAAATAAGTAGAAAATGAAATGAATTATTACATATACCATATATGTCTTAATTTAAGTTGTGTAAGTCATTTAGTAACAGCTTGTCAGGAAAAAATAAGTCATTAAATGTACATGTCCTAATTGTAAGACATACCTCAGGTTTAGAAATACAGAATTGTGTGTCCTAGAATCAAGAAACGGTGATATATAAAATAATTATAGTTATGAGTATATATATGTATTAGGGAACATCAGTTGTAAATCTTAGAATTTAGTAGAAAGAGGGACTGAGTAATAACCAAAATCCAAGAAAATTAATTTTCTCCCATAGTTTATACAATTTGTATTCTTTCTGAGCTTCAGATGGAATTTAGTTTATAAAGTAAAGAAAGTGATATTAAAATGATGTTCATTTTAGCTGTCTCCTCTGCTTTGAGGTGGTTGTTTTTCTTGTCTTTTTAATCGGCTATTAAATACCATTGTTATTCTCTGATCTCATTTTATAATTTTAGTCAAAAGCCTTCTCCATTTTGACAGATCAAAGAGACCAATTCAGAGTCTGAAATGGAAAATTGGGTTGATTATGTTAATGATAGGTGAGTAAGAAAACATTGGGTAAAGGTTGTGAAATCTTAGGTACTCATAAAATTTTAAAATATATAGCCAACTGTAAACTAGTTTATCTCTTTTGAGTTTTCTGGTAAAATATTTTTTTCTTGATTATAAATGTCAGAGAGATTAAGTGTAGCACTAGTACTCACTACCTATGTGACTTGAAAGTTACTGACCCTTTTTAACTCTGAGGTTTTTTCCAGTGTGAAATACGAATAATAATATCTTGCTTATAAAAGTATTTTTAAGGCTTAATTATAATGCATATAAAGTATCTGACCCAGGGCCTGGCATATAAGGGTCCTAAAAGTTTATGTGTATTTGTTCATTCATTAAACATTTATTCCATTTTTTCTATGTACCAGGCATGGCACTCACTTTTGCACAGATTGTGACTGAAATAAGAAAAGGATAAGCCACAGAGAGGGTTAGGCATCTGGGATTATGGATGATATATTTAAGTTTATACTTTATTTTACAAATCTTTTGCAAAAAACCTACTGGGAATTTTTTTTAAAGAAAAACTTGAATTATGATAAAGATGCACGGATATACCTTATCTCTTAGCATGTAAATTTGTAAATGTTTATTCACAATGTCATTTTAAATCTGTATTGTTTTCTAAGACCTACCAATGACATGAGATACCCAATGAAGTCAGAAAAAATACATGGCTTAGGATGGAGACCTAAAGTGCCTTGGAAAGAAGGAATAAAGAAAACAAGTATGTTTTGAATTGATCATTTGAAGGATGATTCAGAAAAATTTAAAGAAAAAGTAATTTATTTTTAGAACACTGTACAAATTCAGCAGAATGTTACAATGAATCATTTGCACTTTTCAAATTGTTACATTTAGTATATTTCTAGCCATAGTCCTGTTTCCCAAACATCTTGAATTTCATAGACTAAATCAGTCTTCCTATATCATATTAGCATTAATCAAATACCTATTTTATTGATTCTCTAGTATGTTTTTTCACTTTCTTCACACTTCTGAAAGATGCATGTGTTGATAATCGCTAGTATCTTATAATTATTGCAACTTTCTTTTTTCTAAGTTGTATGTAAAATAATAGTCCATCTTAAGATCAGTGGCATTTGATTAAATATTGATAGTTGTAGTCTTTGAATGTCTTGAGTCTTTTTTATGTTGAAACAGACAAATAGCAAATAAATTCAGTATGTGCAGAAAAATCTATTAAGTGCGTATAGAGTCTGTGTATGTATGTTATTTTTTTTTTAGTTAGAGTCTCACTCTATTGCCTGGGCTAGAGTGCCGTGGCATCAGCCTAGCTCACAGCAACCTCAAACTCCTGGGCTCAAGCAATCCTCCTGCCTCAGCCTCCTGAGTAACTGGGATGCGCCACCATGCCCGGCTAATTTTTTCTATATATATATATATATTAGTTGGCCAATTAATTTCTTTCTATTTATAGTAGAGACAGGGTCTCGCTCTTGCTCAGGCTGGTTTCGAACTCCTGACCTTGAGCAATCCGCCTGCCTAGGCCTCCCAGAGTGCTAGGATTACAGGCGTGAGCCACCGCGCCTGGCCAGTATTATCTTATTTACCTTAACAAATACTGCATTATGCTTTTTTCTATAAAGTAACTTTAAAACCAGTGCAAATGACTTATTCCCCCCACCCTGAATTCCTTAAAATCAGAATGTTCTAAATACTTATACCAGTAAGTTTAGTATTGAAGGACTTTTGAAGTTAAAAAGAAAAAAATGATCGTTAATTCTTAAGTTTTCAGGCGATAAAATGTCTTTTGATTAACTTTGTCGTTAAGTTCAAAATCAAGCTGTTTACATCATTAGGCAGCCTGCTGATTAGCTTATGGGCTAGACTTTTTTCACCTAGCAGGAACTCAGTAAATGTGGGTTAACTGATGCATAGTTTTTCATTTTTTCTTTGTTTTTTCCTTTCAGTTGAATGGTACAGAGAGAATTTTCACAACTGGAAGAATGCAGAAAAGGCATTAGAACCCTTTCCAGTACAACCACCATTTACCTAGTCAGGACAGTTTGCAGAGAAAGAAGAAAATTATCCTACCTCGACAAGTTACATGAAATCAAGTGACCAAATGAAGTATCCTCTTTGCATATGGAATTAGATTCATGACTTATGTATAAAATTCAAATGAAAAATGCCTCAATCTTTGGAATACATTCAGTACTGGCACAGGATTTAAATATCAAAATTCTGTCAGAAACCCTTTTGGAAATTAGGAAACCATAGGCATAGAAAGACTCTCCCCAGGAGTGGGCCAGGAAGGAGAAGCCCCTGGTTCTGAGAACAAGGAGAGATGGTACCTTTGCTGGCTTTGAACTCAGTCAGCTCCCAGCCTTTTCCAATGCCTAGAAAGTGTCTGAAGTTTTCATTTTAGGAAATATAGGGTGAGTCTTATGCCTTAATTCTTCTTCTTTTTTTTTAAGGTCTGATGTACTATAATTGCTTTAAAAATGGGACAAAGTAGAAGCATATCTGGCACTTTTTAACTTTTGATAATTTTGTAAAATTAAGTTCAATGCTTTTTAAAAGAAGAGTATATCAAGTTTTTATATTTTCAAAATAATTTGTTGACCTACATGTAACCTGTGTCAGAGAAATAGTTTTATCATGTATTTACTGTTCAAAATGATTTTATTTATAAAATTGTCAATATCTTAATGTATTTAATGTAGAATATGGCTTTTTTAGTAATAAATGCTTTTATTTTGCTGTAGAAAAATTTAAAAATACTTAATTATGTATTTTTAATTTCTCTTTGCTCTAAAGGCTTTAAGATGGTTTGAAAAAGTATAATAATTGATCAAGTATTGGGTTGAGAAAGGGAAAGGAAGCTGGGTGCCCCTCTATTAACAATGCACATTTTAATATGGAGGCTTCATAACCCTGCATTAAAAAGTCTTAATACACTTTTTTTTTTGAGACAGAGTCTCACTCTGTTGCCCGGAATAGAGTGCTGTGGCATCAGCCTGGCCCACAACAACCTCCAACTCTTGGGCTCCAGCAATCCTCCTGCCTCAGCCTCCCTAGTAGCTGGGGCTACAGGCATGCACCACCATACCCAGCTAATTTTTTCTATATATATTAGTTGGCCAATTACTTTCTTTCTATTTTTAGTAGAGATGGTGTCTCACTCTTGCTCAGGCTGGTTTTGAACTCCTGACCTTGAGTGATCCTCCCACCTTGGCCTCCCAGAGTGCTGGAATACACTTTTTAAATACACTTCATTCCAGCCTCTCATGGTGTCTAGGGGTTCCCAAGTCCATACTACTTGTCTTCAATGTATCTAGGTCCCAAGTCCATACCTCTTCTCTTGAGTTTCTCCAGATAATTTCCCCTGTCTGGAGGGAAAGACAGGGAAGGCAAGTGTGTCACTTGGGTCTTACAGGAAGCAGCTGGTGAGAGAAAGTAATGGCTGTAAAGATAAAAGAGAAAGGAAGCAAAATTGAGCAGGATAGTGGTCCTAGCTAAGGCTCTGTGAACAAATCGTCTATTTTGATACTCAACTAGCCCTTTTAGGATGGAAAGGGCCCAGTGGAATCCACTTGCCACCAAGTAACTGGTAGATTTTCTTGAAGAATAGTGCCATATTAGGGGCTCGGTATTTGTCTCTATTGCCAGCAGGTTGGACGTTGACAGGTAGCACTGGCTAGATTGGCCCTGGTAAGTGAGAATCTATGCTGTAGGCCTCAAGAGTGATTTCATCTCTACAGTTATGCCTGTTCCAATCAGGTGCCCATCGTGGTAGTTCTGGGGTGGCTGATGAAGGCCAGCTAAAGTTAACTGACCAAGTCATTTTGTCCGCTGGATGGTTCGGTGCTTTTGTGTACTGGTTGCTTTGTAGTGGGAGTTAACATGGGGTACATAGATCTTCTCCCCACCCTCCCCCATGTGCCCATGCACATGCCTCCAACCCTGACTTGTCTGTATTCCTCTAGTCTTTTTTTCTCCCAAGCCCCAAAGTAGCTAACCAGGCCATTTGCCACTGTCCATGACTTAATATATACTCTCCCTATGGATCACTTCTACACATAGTGCATGCCTGGGTACATTGCTCAAGGCTCTGTCCTCTGATTTTCCCTTTCCACATTCTTAAGGCCACCACTGCCTGGCTTTAATGCAGCTACCATCCAGTCTTGGCGGCACTCACATAACAAGCCAACCCATCTATAAATGAAAATGAGCTTTCCCCTCCTCTTTCAGTTATTTGTATGGGACCCTCTGTATGGTCACAGGTATGAGCTGAGAGGGGGACACTGGTATAACTAAGGTGGTGACTTGGGATTCTGGCCTACTGCTCCTGCAACTTAGTTGTCCCTCTGATTCTGCCCAGGCTTGATCCAAGATGTCACATTTCCATCTCATAATGGTCTGCTGCTGGGCTCACCTGAGTGGGTGGGCGTATTACCTTGCTAGGGCTGCCATAATACAATATCACAAACTGGGTGGCTTCAACAACAAAAATTTGTTTTCTGACAGTTCTGGAGGCTGGAAGTCTAAAGTCTGGATTAAAGTGTCAGCAAATTTGTTTCTTCTGAGCCCTCTCTCCTTGGCTTACAAATTGCAAGCTTCTCCTTCTGTCCTCACATGGTCTTCCTTCTGGGCACACATGTCTGTGTCTGAATTTCCTCTTATGAGGATACTAATCATACTGGAGTATGGCCTACTTTAAAGATCTCATTTTAACTTCTCTCTCTAAAAACCTTATTTTCCAAATATAGTCACACTCTGACATACTAGGGGTTAGGACTTCATTCCAAGAATTTGGACGGTACACAGTTTACCCTTAATAGTGTGTGCAAATGAACTCAGCACATATGAGCAGTTCTGGATGCATGGTCAGTTGGTATCCCATGGTCAAGCATTCTGACTCTACCGGAGCCCAGTAACCCACCAGGAGCTGTTTTCCAAAGGCATATCATTCTCCGTTGCAGTTGGAGTGGTCTTTGCCCGCAATCCCTGGGACCTGCCTGGTGATTCTCCCAGGCACTCACCATAAAATTCACACATCTTTCCACCACTGACAATCTCAACACCATAGTGTTCACCAGGCCATATGGCCCAACAGGCAGGGGTGCTTGGACCCAAGCTTGGACCTGCTGCAGAGCTCTTTCCTGCTTCAGACCCCCCCTCACAGCTGGCAACCTTTTGTGTCACTCAGTATATCAGCTGGTGCACTGTCCTTAAGTGTGAAATGTGTCGCTTCCGATTTCAGGCCTACCAGGCCCTGTGCTTCCTTCATGGAAGGGAATATAAGATATAACTATTGGACTTTGACTTGGAGTTTGGAAGAAGTTGATTCCAACCCTCATGGATGACTTTGAGGGGTTCAAGACTTCAGTGAAGGAAGTAATTGCAGATGGGGTAGAAATTGCAAGAGAACTAAAATTAGGAGAAGAGCCTGAAGATGTTACTAAATTGCTGCAGTCTAATGGTAAAACTTGAATGGATGAGAAATTGCTTCTTGTGGATAAGGAAAGAAACTTGTTTCTTGAGATGGAATCTATTCTTGGTAAAGATGCTGTGGCCATTGTTGAAATGACAACAAAGGATTTAGAATATTCCATAAACCTAGCTGATAAAGCAGCAGCAAACTTTGAGAGGATTGACTCCAATTTTGAAAGAAGTTCTACTGTGGGTAAAATGTTATTAAACAGCATGGCATGCCACAGACGTCTTCCATGAAAGGAAAAGTTAATTGATGTGACAGATTTTCTTGTCTTATTTTAAGAAATTGCCACAGCCACCCCAACCTTCAGCAATCACCACCCTGATCAGTCAGCAGCCATCAACACTGAGGCAAGACCCTCCACCAAAAAAAAGGTTATGACTTGCTGAAGGCTCAGATCATCTTTAATTTTTTAGCAATATTTTTAAATTAAGGTATATACATTGGGTTTTTTTGGTTTTTTTTTACATAATGCTCTTAAACACTTAATGGACTACAGTATAGTATTAACATAACTTTTTTATGCACTGGGAAACCAAACTATTTGTGTCACACATTATTGTGAGATTCATTTTATTGCGGTGGTTTGGAGCCAAACCCACAGCATCTCCAAGGTGTGCCTGTATTGGAAAGCCCTCTACTTAAATGTCTAGTAACAGTTCTGTACCTTGCTTAGTCCCTCATCTATCGACTTGGAATGAAAACATTGCTCTCTTATTGAAGATAGTTGTGAGAATTAACTACAGGCGTGGGAGAGAAGGGAAAGCACATTGCTGGGTTGGAGTGCTGAATAAAATTTACAGAGGTGACAAATATTAAATAAAATAGGCCAAATAAGCCCTTGAGAAACTTCTCTTTCTATTTTCAGAAAACTTTTAAACTTTTGTGGCTCTGGAATTCTGCCCCCATTTTTTTAAGTGAAAAACTTAGGTGAAAATATAAAGCAATTTTTCTTTGTCCAGAAAAAAAACTCCAAAGGAAAATGTTGATTTTAGCTATTTGGATATTACATGTCAAAGAAAAATTCCAAGTGTGTTAATACTTAGAAAATGCACATTTCTCTTAAATTTATTTGCTGCTGTGCAGGATTTCCTTTTGTCCTTGTAGCATTCTAAATAAGCATGCTACCTCTGACCTACTCTGCAAATATTTCAGCGGTCATTATAAAACAATAGTGTGCCACATAGCTAAAATTAAATCAGTTTAAAATTCTCAGGAGTTGAAATTGTGGTTGCTTAAGTTAATGGACTAATCAAACCATAGTTTTAGATGATGTTACTGCAGTATTCTAATTACTGCAATCTGATTTTCCTTAGTAATTGTGAAGGTCAAAACTGAAAGCCTGATTCAAAAAGGAAATTAAAAGTTAAAAATAAAAGACGAGGAAGACATTTTTATTCCCACATATGTCATGATAAATTATGAAGTTGACCTTGTAAAGTTAAAAAAAGATTTTGCTGTAAATCACATTGGGGTTGACTACAAGGCGTGGAAACTGTGTATTCCAAATCCTTGAAACAGCATAATTTCATTTAATTTATGTTATTTTTCAATAAAGGTGATTTATTATATGCTAAACAAACTAGACTAAATTATGTCTGCAAATGT